CCGCGGGCCAAACGGGGCGGGTCAAATAGGCCCGCGATTGAACGGGCTGGCCAAGCAAAGGCCCAAGCCCGTCCGTTTAAGCGGGCGGGCGGGCCAGCCCGCGGGCCACTGGCCCGTTTGACAGTGCTATATGTATGTGATATAACATATAGAGTAATCGGCTCTAGTTACCTCGGTTTAGTTGGTCCGAATTAGCTCGGCTGAGTTAATCTTAATCAGCTCGGGTTATTGGTCCAGTTAGGCCTGTAAAAAAGTCGAGGTGACCTCTAGCTCGACCGATCCAAGCTCGGCTCGTTAAATAAACGAGTCTGAAATTAAGTTCGAGCTCAACTTGTTTATCAAGGCAAAAAAGATTTTTTGCTCGAGTAAATTACAATTTTAGTCTTGTATGTTTCACTATTTTAATTTTTTCGTCCTCTTCGAATTGTGTTTTGATTTTTGTCCCGTATGTTTGAAAAAATGTTACAAAAAAGTCATTTGCGCAACAAAAAGGTCCTTTATGTTTTGCAAAAAAATGTTCCAATTTCGTCCCTTATGTATGAAAAGGACCTTTGTGTAACCTTTTTTCAAACATACAGGACGAAAATCAGAAACGCAATTCGAAGAGGACGAAAAAGTTAAAATAGTGAAACATACAAGACTAAAATTATACTTTACTCTTTTTTGCTCTCTTAAATGAACCTCTTTTTGCTTTTGGTACCAGTAAATGTTCGTTTTTGGAAATGGTTATATAAGTGGAAAAAAAAATAATTTTTTTGGTCCTCTGACCGCCTATTGCAAGGTCAGAGTGACCAGCTACGCCAACATGAAAATTTATTTAACTTTTTATTTTTTATTTTGCTGACGTGGCAATTAGGTGGCAACAATTTGCTTACATGTGATTTTTTATTTTTTTTAAGCAGGTAATGGGTCTCATTTGTGCATGAGTAAACATGTCCACAGGTCGAACCGGCCCGGCCCGAACTGGACCCTTAGGGCCGTGGTTCGATCCCGGGCCATAAATTTTTTTTGGACCCGCCGGTCCGGGCCGCGGGTCGGACAACGGGCCACTGTGTTTATTTTTTTATTTTTATTTTTCTTAAGGGTCGTCCCGGCCTGTGACCTGCCAGGTCGGTGAATCGGCCCATAGTTTATTTCGGCTAGTCATGGGCCATGGTATTGAGTCGGCGAGCCAGGCCGGGCCGGGTCACGGCCCGGTAATTGGCCACCTCTAGTGCATGAGAGGTGCGGTTGTGGCCATTTTTTTTATAATTTGCCACCTACCACCTCAGCAAAAAAATAATAAATGAAATTCACATGTAAGCAAATTGTTGCTACCTAATTGTAGAATTTAATTGCAGAATTTGAATTTATAATTTAAAAATAGTATTACTCTCCGATTTATTCTGGCACGTTCAAAGACGTTTAATGAATCGCATTTTTCGAGCCAATCAAGTCTTCGAGCAGTTGTTTCTACGATTCAATATTTGTATATCTTTGGCTGTTGCGGTGTATCTAACACGCATTTATTTTTATAATTGTGTGACATTGCGTCAGAACAACTTTCATAAAATAATCACAGATTGCTTACGAACTTACCAAAAATGAAATTTCAAATAAACTAATTTGCGATTAACTTGTGTGTATTATGTTTCGCCTACAAATTACATATTTTAATGACTCGCATTTTCTGAAGCAAATTTGTCATTCAAACAGTCCTTTCTACATGGCGTGAAAGTTGAAACGTCATGTTTCAATAATACTACATAAATTATTACGAGGCAACTTGAAACGTTAGATATCCGTATAAATACTACATGAATAAAGTCCAAAAAAAATCATCCACATCTCTACCACTATGTATGAGAAAAAAAAAGTGAATGTATTTTGTGTTTGCTATTGTTAAGATCGTCTATACCTTCGCATCCCAGTCGCAAGTTCATGTTATTAATTTCATGGTTCTCGTCTTTGATCAGCATATGCTTTATCAATTCATACAAGTCATCGTCTTTATAGTTTTCATTATGTTCTTCCTATTGTTGATCTTGGTCTGGCCCACGA